TTTCATTTTCTACAACAATTTCGAAGATAAACCAACAATGCTTAGCATTTTTTAATATATAGTGAAGACATAAATTTCGAAACTATTGAGAACTCAATCTTCTCATATTGATTTGTCTAAATTGCTCATTAATTTACTTTTTCTCTCGCAAATTTCATAATTCAATCTTCTCATAATGAAATTGTAGAGACAAAATTAGGATTAAGCAAATTTCAATACGAATTTTTTTTATTAGAAATAAGATCTCACAACGTCCAAGAGAATGCGTTTTGATGAAAATGTCAGCATATTGATTAGTCGATAGAGATGGAGGCAAATGTGATGATGCACAAGTGGCAATATTTTTGTACATGTCATGTTTTATGTACCCATAAAGGACATTATTACAAGCAATCTATACTTCAATTATTGGAGTATACTTACATAAGCTTATATCTAGTGAATCCGTATAAGCTTATCGGTATTAGCAAGAGCATAAATATTTTAGTCTTGTAACTATCGTACAAGCTTATCGGTACAATTAATCCAGAAATTCCTCCTGCACATGAAATGAGCTTCTCAGACTCAAAACTCCTTTGGCATAATTGTGGGAATTCCGTCGTTTCTATATTTCATCATTAAATGTGGACATTCCATTTTACTCGACCAAACTCTATATGTATGCCTTGGTACATAAACTAATTTCCCTCTTCCATCTACTGGTGATCCATCTACCAAACTTCATTCTCATCTTTTCATTAATGGCATGACAAGTATCTAAGGATTTTACTTTTCAATTTTCACCTTCTCTTTCATTCATTATTTTTTCGAAAGTAAAATTTCTTGTAGCAACGAAGTTGTCTTCTATTTTGTATTCCAAAAATATATATGATTTACGGATTTTTTTAGCATAAAGACATTGATGGATGAATTTTTTTAGCAGAAGTTAAAAGAAGTAGAGCAAGAATGCACTGGTGATGGAACTATTGATCTTCATGGGCGTCCTGCACTAAGAGATCAAACAGGAAATTAGGTTGCTGGAATTATCATGCCAGTAAGTCCCTTCCATTAATTCATTCGACATTTAACTCTCTTACTCTAATACGGATCCCTTTATTAACGAGTATTTGTCGAAATATAGTGATTCAAAATCTGGCTACTGGTGTTTGTTGGAAATATGTAATAAAATTTGGAAAAAACTAATGAACTCCAAGGCACGAAAAATGTTATCTTTTAAGAGATGTTTCTCCCCTTTTCAACAAAGTCACGATCGGAGTATGATAGAAAATCTCTCTCAGGATACAATGGAGGCGTTTGATTCAAATTGTGACTATTTGATCAAACCAAGAAACACTCTATAGAGAAATTGATGATGCCAAGAGAAAGATAGAAGAATAGAAATTT